CATATACTGCGTATATATTTGTGTGCGCTTTGTAAAACATTACTTGGCTGGGAGACAAACGTTTGTCTTCAGGGTACGAGGAAACCGCAAATGGCCTGGTAAACAGGAAGATTTAGATCATGCCTGCCAATTTAGTTGCATTGCACTTTCAGCAAACACAGGAATCAATCTCTTAATACCCATTGAGAATTGATGGCTCGTCACGTTACAAGAACTTTAAAATCCAATCGAAGCCTTTCCCTCGAGATGTCTATCTGGATTCATTTCAATTTGAAAATGGAGAGAGATGTAAAAGCAGCAGAGACTAACATACTGAGACCATTTAAGGAGGAAATCTTCACAGCCTTTGACTACATAGCAAACAGTTTTGACCTGCGTCAAGGTCAATTTTTAACATTTGTTCAGATTTGCTCTTAATGCAATGCGCTGGGGCCTATTACTTGCCTTACAGAAATAAACAGCTAGGGGCAAGAATAAAGGGGAAACATGCCTCTGACTTTGGGTATTGAGATTGACCACATATGTTATAGAAACAAGATGACACTAAGACTAATAACGTTTAAGACACAATAATTACTTCAACTAAACTGACGAAAGCTTAGCATTACAGTACAGCTGCCATCAGCACTCACTGGGAGGAAAGTCTTTGCTGCAGGGAATCTGTGATGGACTCTCCAATGCACAGTCCTGTTCTGAATTGGTGATTTTTACACTGCACAATCCCTTAGAGGCGCCAAAATGGCTTATTCTGTGCATTTTAGTCAAGGATTTGGCTCTTCCTGAACGGTTTGACTAAAGACTCCTTGTGGAGTTTTGTTAAAGTCAAAATATAACTCAGAATATTAAAGTCCATAAAGTTCAAGGCCAATGTGAGTGTATCTTCAGTTGATCAGACCCAGTGATTGAAGATGATACAATTTAAGGTATCGCGATTGAAAAGCAACATGCGCACTTTATCAATCCTTGTAAAAAATGGTCACTCAGACTTTACCTTGACGTGAACCATAGAAGCTTACAGCACAAAAAGGGCATTCGGCCCATCATGAAGGACACAATATGAATCCTTATGGTTATTATGGTGGGGATGTGTGCAGTTCAATAAACTGGCCATGTTTTCAATTGACTCCAGTTCAATGTCTACCAGAAGAGATGATCCTTCATTTGAATCCATATGACATTCACCCAGGACTTGACTGACAAATTATTACAGTAGTGAGTCTGTAACACTCATCCTGTGTCCTGACTTCCTGTTCGTGCCAGGCTGATTTATTCTTCTATAACACACTACACTTTACAAGATATCCTGTGAAGCACTTTGAGATGTCTCGTAGATGTGATAAGGCGCTATGTCAAATGCAAGGATTATTATTATTTATTATTATATTGAACCTGTTGTCTTCGATTGCATTTTGTTCTCCTTGCGCATTCAGCATGATGAGAGCATCCCAATTAATTTAAGAGGAGGGAGCATTGCCTGCAGGGTACAGACAGCTAATTCATGGAACATCCCCACTCCTTTCCTTCCTTCACTCCAACCCTCCCTCCGCCCCTATATTAATTGGGCGGTGTCACCAGCAACAGGTGAGGAACTTAATTAAAACTCAGTCTGGATTCCAAGACTAGTCTCAGTAATAACAATCATAATCCTAATTTGATATAGCTCTTTATCACATCATTCAGATGTCTCAAAGCACTTCACAAGATTTAATGTAAAGTGTAGTGACCATGAATTTTGTAGACAAATATGGATGACTAATTTTATTCAGGGGATTGCTGACCAGGACACCAGGAGAAACTATTCTTATTTTTTCGAGAATAAGGTCTAATGCCAATGGTGAAGTTACTATGCCAAAATTTAGACAATAATCCTGCAACTTTGCAATGTCCTCATCTACGGTTCTGAAGGCGATGGGTTCCATTTCGCTTCAGAGAACTGTGCAGAGAACTGCCGAAGTAGCACATGCCTCAGTTCGATAGCTGATCGCCTACGGTGAAAGGTAAAGTGCACTTTCTTCAGTGTACAGACAGTGGTTACAAACACAGACATTTTTAGGGGTGAGTCATGAGTGAGACCTGGCACAAGGCCCACTATATTTCCTGTGAAACTTCATTCTGGAAGATATTTTCGAGATTGGAGCCTGGCCTGGCTGTTTCTCACGAGGCAGCGAGTTACAGTTTGGGGAATTTGGGTTCCAGTTTTTCTTCTTCCTTTTGTTTTTTAAGCTACTTCTAAGTTTGAATTTGAGTTTAGGATTGAGTCCATGAGTAAGCAAAGGTGAATCTATTGTAATTATTTAAAAAAAGGTCAAGAGATGTTCTTGGAAATTATAGGCTGGAAAATGTAATATCAGCTGTAGATTTAATATACTTGATCAAAAGTAATTATACCCCCCACCAGCTTTTCCCACTTGTTGGTGAATGAAGCATTGCGTGGTTTTAATGATTTCTTAAGTATTTTGGGGGTCTGATTCTACTTCTCCTCTACCTTATAAATGGACTTTTTCACCACAACTGCTCTAGTTGGGTTCAAGATAACCCTGCTGCCCCAAATTCCACCTAATCCTAGCCCTTAATAACAACAACTTGAGTTTATTTAGCATCCTTCATGCAGGACAGCGTCTCAAAGCACTGCACAGTGGTGCGGATGGATGTCGAGAAAGGGGAGGGGGAGTTGACCACAGGTGAGATCAAAGAGGTAGGTCTTAAAGTGGGATTTGAAAATAAGTAAGGGGGTTGGTGGTGGGGGTGGGGGAGGGAGTGGAAGGAGTGAGGCAAGGAAGTCCAGAGGTTAGGGGCGAAGTGACTGAAGCCACTATAAGTGAGTTGAGTGAGGAGAGTTGTGGGCCCCAGTGACTGTTCTGGTCCTCCAAGTCCTGCTGATGAGCCAGGTTGGTTGTACTGCCATCAGCAGTGCCCTGGAATACTGCAGACCCGCCTGGCTCAGGAATTGGACTACTGAGACCACCACAGAGGGAAGAGTTGATTTTGACATTCCATTGCCAAACATGTCACCTTTGAGCTAGCTCAGCCCCAAAGAAACTCTGCTTACCTTCTCCCACCATTACCAGGAGGATAGTTGCTAGTTGGTCATTAGACATATGATAAGCGCAAGTTTGAGCCCTCACTGGATAGATAGCGGGCACACAAACTCCTTGCAAGCCTCTTTGTGACCTGTACGACTTAGCATGAAACGCTTGAGAGCTTTGAGGGTTGGTTCCACCAGTTGGAAGTACAGAGCTTTCTGAAGAGTTTCCCCCATCAGCTATTCATCGGACTTCAGTGTGGTATAATGACATGTACAGGAAAAGCTTGTGATGTGCTAGACTACTTGATGTTCTAGGCAAATCCAATACTGGGTTTTAATAAAAATAATACTTGTATTTGGTATAAAACCCTTCACATCGGGAGGGCGTCTTAAATGCTTCGCAGGATTTGCTGTGAAGTGGAGTGACTGTGTGTTTGTAGGCAAACACGGCAGTCAATTGCACACAGCAACGCCCCAAAAAAGGACCAATTTTATCCGGGAAATTGTTACCAGGACACCAGGAGGAACTCCATTCGAATAGAGCCACGGGATAATAATAATAATAATAATCCTTGGATTTGATATAGCGCTTTTCACATCTTAAAAGGATCTTTAACATTCACCTGAACTTGCTTTAATGTCTATTCCAAAGGCACCTCAACCAATGCAACCCCTCTCCCCAGTACTGCATTGGGAGTGTCAGCCTAGGCTATGTGAGTTCATGTCCTGACATGGGTCTTGAACCCACAACCTTCTGACTCCGAGGCGAAAATGCCATGATAGTAAAGTAATCTCAGAAGAAGTTTTTTTTCTCTCATTCCATCGGTACTTACGATCGTCTTTGAAAGACCAATGAGGATTTTGAATGAGTAAAGTGCAGAAATATATAATAGCAGATGTCTTGTTGTATCTTTAAAAAAAATTTTATTTTGACTGTTGCTAGGGTCATGAGGCTGCTGGGGTAGCTGAGTAAACATTATTGACAATAGTTGTATCACACACTCTGAAAATGGCAAGTTAGGCAAAAAAAAGGAAAAAGGAGGTAGGGTTTTAGATAGGAAAACAAGGACACTTTCTTCTGACATAAGGAATCCGTCCTTCGGATGAGATGTTAAACCGAGGTCTTGTCTGAATGTTAAAGTTCCCATTGCACTATTTTAAGAGAAGGAGGTGTACAAAGTACACAGTCACACCACTTTACAGTGGTGATTCTCTTTGAGACGTCTCGATTATGTAATACGGTGCTATATCAAATGCAAGGATTATTATTATAGAATGTGTTTATCCAATATGGGCAATGTTGACCCCTATATTCTGTGAATACATTCACCATGCCAAAAAGGAAAACCCATGCTTACTGGATCTGTTTACGTTTTTAATTCAAAATACTGCCGTACCAAAGGGTTAAACCTATCTCATGCACTAATAACACTGATCATTACATCATGTTGCTTCAGTTTATCTACTGAACTTTGGTATATTACCTGATTACCCTTTTCCTGCTTTGTATGTTCAATGGAAACCCAACTACATTGCTTCAATCACTATTTATTTCTTTTAACGGAAACAGCCATACAAATTCTCTTTGTGTGCAACTCATTAACATTTTACAGGAAATGCATGTAGTTAATATACTCCTGGGCGTGGCTCTAAAAAAGAAAACTGTAGAACTGTGAGCTGGTAAATGCTGCTGTAACTAAAACTACTCTCTCTCACACTCACTCCCAACCCTCTTGATCTCATGGATATTGTACCTAGTATCACAAATGCTTTCAATTTCATTTGTTCCCAGTAATATGTGGACTCTGGAATGAAGTTACTCAGTCACACTCGCTGAATAGGTTATCTTCCTGAATTACTATATAGATTTTACATAAAGGCACCTTGTCAAAGCTTTAGCTATAAGCAACTGTGATAGAAGACAGGAGAGAGAGAGAAAAAAACACACTCTATTTTGTGTTTGATTGATCCACAGATGGTTCTGTGAAGATAAGGAGCTGCAAAACTCCCCAGACATCCAGATTTTCCAGAATGGAGATCTCTATTCTCTAATCATTGCTGAAGCTTTTGAGGACGACACGGGACGATATACTTGTCTGGCCACCAACCATCTTGGATCAGATACCACGTCCGCTGAGGTCTACATTGAAGGTATGTTGGTTTGTGAGGCTTTTTACGTAATGGTCATTGCAATTGTTGAACTGCGGCTTATGTACAGTGGAGTCACTGAGTGAGGAAACTCTTTTTACAACAAACGTAAGAATGGGACACTACCTCGCATGAAGCTTGCTATATAGGTGCAACTTGTTGTTGTTATTTAATGAAGCTTAATAAGTATTTGCTCAGTTGGTAGCACTTTTGTATCTGGGTCAGAAGGTTGAGGGTTTAGCTTCATGTCAGTAATTGGAGCTCATAGTCTCGGCTGGCAATCCCTTGCAGTATTGGAGAGCGCTGTATTGTCAGAGCTTTTGTCTTTTGGGTGAGATGTCAAACTGACATCCCGTCTGCTGGCCATATGGATATTAGCGACTGATACATCAACAACAACTTGCACTTATATAGCGCTCTCCATGCAGGGCAGCGACTCATGGGGGGAGGTGGCCGTAAGCACAGTTGAAGAGAAAGGTTTTCAAAAGGGGAGAGAAGGCAAAGCGGAGGGATTGAGGGAGAGTGTTCTAGAGTTTCGGGGCGTAGTGGCTGAAAGCACGACCTTCGATGGTGGGGCGGAGGGTGCGATGGACGAGGAGGAGACTGGTGCCAGTCGAGCGGAGGCACCCAGTGGTGGATTGGGAGTGAGGAGATCAGAGAGATAGGGAGGTGCCAGAGAGTGAAGGGATTTGAAAACGATTTGGAATACCATCTTCCAAAGATTAAGGGAGTTTCCCACAATGTCCCACCTAACAATCCTCCAGGTTATTAACTTCATGGCTGTTTGTGGTACCTTGCTGCAGACAAATTGGCACCATGTTTTCTCACTTGTCACTACACCTGATAGCAATTCCCTGTGAAGTGCTTTGAGGCATTTAAATGTTGCCAGTGCTGTATGAAATTCAAGTATTGTTCATATATTTTTGCTCTTGCACATTAAATATGAGCTATGTAGGCTGTTCTTTGCTGAATCAAAAGCAATTTTGTTTAAACTTTGAACTATTTCTTGTTTCTTTCACAACAGCTTCCAACTTGCATTTATATAGTGTCCTTCATGTGGAGTAGCGTCTCGGAGTGCTTCACAAAATCCAGTCTACACTTGACAGCATGCATTATAATGGGGTAGATTAAAATTAAAAGATTACTGAGATCATGTTATCTGTCAACTCCTTTACTTACCTCTCCCCAAGTCTTATTCTCTGTATTGAAGAGTTCTACTGAGGTACAAACAGTACTATGGGCACCTTGGGTGTATATGGGTGTGTTTGTGTCTTTTCACACATCAAGAGGATGTGCAGACAGTGAAATGTCTTAATTTGATGTGTTTTTCTTCACATCACAATAAAAGTTGCACCTTCTCACGTCATTGAACAATCTCAAAGTGATTCACGGGATTTACTATAAAGTTTAGTGGCTGCGTATCCATAGGTAAACTCAACAGCCAATTTGCGCATAGCAATGTCCCACAAACTGCCGTGAAGTTAATGACCATTTTTTTCCAAGAGGATTGTGTAGATCTGGGAATAAATTTGATCTGTTGTTCTACAATAACGAACACCTAAAGCCATGTGACCAACATCCAATTATCTTATGCTTATATAGTTAAAAAAAATTAGATTATAAGGCGCTATATCAAATGCAAGGAATATTATTATTTATTATTATTGAAAAGAAAAATCTCAAAACTACAAGTTTCCCATCACAGAAACACTTAAAAGCTCAATGTGTGGAATTTTTTAAACACAGCAGGCACACAAACAAAAGCAACCTACATTTATGTTGTGTAGGATAACATCTCTGACTTCCTTTCCCCATCTCTCCTCTGCCAGTTTTCTCTCACCTCTCTTCTTTTCCCCACCTTTCTCTTCCCTCCTCTCTCCCACCTCTCTCTGCCCCCTCTCTTTCCCTCTCTCTCTCTCTCTCTCACTCACTCTCTCACTTCCCCTCCCCCTTCCCTTGCATGAAAACCTAACACAGTGAACCCTAATTTAAGTCAACTTATACATATAAATAAAATCAGGACAACGTCTCATTTTATTTCAGACATTGACAAGTAATAATTCTATTAATAGTAAGCCTTAATGTGACATTTAAATGTTTAAGCTATTTGTGGATCTCACTGTCATGACCCCCATGCAACTTGAAGCTTTGTACTGTGTACCCAGGCTGCTTGTGTTAAATCACCGAATATTTATAATAATCCTTTGCATTTGATATAGTGCTTTATCATGCCATTGAAATGTCTCCAAGCGCACCACAGGATTTAATGTAAGTGTAATAACTGTGTATTTGTGTGCAAACACAGCAGTCAATTTGCACAAAACAAAGTCCCACAAACAGTCATCTAGGTGATTCTTGGCCAGGACACCAAGAGAAACTGTCAGATGGGAGCTTTGTTTAATATCTCATCCGAACATTGTTCTTGCACTTGCACTTGCTGATTCCTCAAGCCCGCTTTGCCTGTCAAACGCTCTGGGATGCTACTCCCCGTGAAGGATGCTATATAAATGCAAATTGTTGATGTTGTTGTCTCCCTTTCCTTCATTGCCTGGCCCTGGACTCTGAGATAATGCAACACAATTTACATTTATTATAACATGGTCACGATAGGAGCCTATCTCAAAGTGCTTGACAAAGCAAAATGACCACCCATGGTAGGGGTGGGTGACAAGGCGAGTGGGGAGGGGAATGATGACTGAAAGCACAGTCAAAGATGTATGTCTTCAGATGGCTTTAAATATGAGGCAAGAATGAGTTGGAGGGGCTCCAGGATAAATTCCACAGAGCAGGGCCAGAATGGCTCAAAGCTTTACAAAGCCGGACTGGACACCGAGCAGGGAGGTGACTGTGGGCAAGATTAATGAGGTTGGTTTTTAGGCAAGACAAAGGAGTTGCAGGAAGCCCATAGTGGCTGAAGGCCCGACTGCTGATGGTGAGGCGGATGGAGCGAGGGAGAGCATGCCCTAGTCTGCCGAGTGAACGGAGCAAGCAGGAGAGTGAGGCTGGAGAAATATACAGCCGTAGGGAATTGCAGTGCAACTTGCTGAGGAAGGAAATTATTTCCACCTTGTGATCTTCGCGGCAACATTTTCTTGTAATGTATACTCACTGATGTCACATAGCTGAGCAAGCATGCGAGTGAACAATTATCACTGGGAACTCCGATCCTGAAAAATGCACTTGCCTGTCTTTAAATACCTAGAAGGAAATTGGAAGCCTTGGCAGAATCTAATAGTTCCAGTGACCTGTCTAAACTGGTTACATTCACCTATGCTGGTCTGCAATACGTTAAATCTCTTGTTACCTCGATGTAGCTATCTCCAAAGGCATCTGATATATATTACAAACAGCAGTATCAGCTGGTGCATGTATATGTTAGTATGACTAGGATTTATACCAATGAGTGTCACAACATTAGCTATGACTCTGTACCAGACTAACTTAGTTGATAGCTCCCTCACCTCTGAGTCAGAAGCCTGTGGGTTCAAGTCCCATATCAATCTAGCCTGAATTCACTCACTTGAATTCATTCACAGGAAAATGACCAATTTGATCTGGGGGATTGTTATCCAGGACACTCAGAGAAATTCTCTTCTCTTTTCGAATAGCGCCATCTTTAACATCCCCCTAAACAGGCAGACGGGACCTTGGTTTAGTATCTCCAGCTTTGCCTAAGCTCTGAGTTCAAAGTCCCAATGTGGGGCTTGAACCCACGACCTTCTGACTCAGGGGTGAGAGTGCTACTGACTGAGCCAGCCTGACACATTTGAGTGGTGTGAAGGTTGTAGGGAAGAGAAAGACTAACTGGATCACTCCCTCAATTATCCTGTTGGTGGCATCTTTCAACCAGCAATGCCAAACCCAGAGACTGCAGGCACTCCACTTCCTGCTTGGTAAAAATACAATAATGTTTTTACAAACTGAGAGAATGTGTTTGAGGTTTATTCCCGTTACACAGTTGCAAAATAATCTCTCTCTTGTCACAGACTCAAACAAAACACGTTGAAGGAAATCAACAAAACTACAGATTTACATTCAATATAACGTCTTTCACATGAGGAGAATGTGCCAAGATAATAATAATAATCCTTTCATTTGATAGGACTTTCATGCGTCTTATCACATCATTGAGACGTCTCAAAGCGCTTGACAGAATATACTGTAAAGTGAATTGATTGTATATTTTGTGAGCGAAACGCGGCAGACAATTGCGCACAACAGCGTCCCACAAACGGTTGTGGATTGAAGTGACCAATTTATTATCATTATTATTATTTTAAAGGAATTATTACCCCAGAAAAACGATCTGCCAATCGTCTAACAACCGGATTCCTACTTACTGCTAGGTAAACAGAGGCGTGTGGAGTAAGGAAACTTTCCCAATGTTTCTTCCTGCTAGGAATCAAACCCAGCTCTCCCTTGCGAGGCAAGTGCTCTAACCACTGAGCTACAGGACTCCACAAGATGCTGGATCTCAGAACTGTGCTTGCCTTTCACCAGACAGGCAGTGTGTCCTCAGTGATGACCCTCCCCACTCCACACACACACACAGATAACTGCACTACTTTGGGACTGATACTGAAACCCTCATCTACTCTTTCCTCATCTCCCACCTCAATTTCTCAAATGCCCTTCTCACCAGTCTCCCCAGCTCCACCATTCACAAAATCCAATTGATTCAAGACTCCACTGCCCATATCCTCTTCAATCATGCCAATGATCTCCTTCCCTTTTACCCCGAATTGATGTCAAACTATGCTATTGTTAAACACTCTGAGAAGCTACCCCATGTGAAGGGCGCTATATAAATGCAAGTTGTTTTTACTGTTGTTTTTGAACACTACTGTTGCTTTTTAGTCAATATGATAATTATCACCAGTAACAAAAAAATAATCATATGCCACATTTTATGCACTGTGCATGCAGTCAGTGAAATCTTTCCAGTGCTTCTGATAGGTATTTACTGCAGGAATAATCTAACTCTACATTATTCGGCTCCAGCACAGACTGCTAATCTCTATTTACACCTGCTGGTCAACATTAGGAAACACCTCAGTCAAACATTCAAGACAAGAATATTGGTTTTGTGAAAGGTATTCATCAGTCAGTGGATTAAGGAACACTGTTTGTTTATTTGTTCCCTGAATCCTTGATAAAATGTGTGACACAGAATCACATGCATAGAATACACTCTGGTGTCCCCAAACCTTGGCTCTTGCCAACCTGCGCCCAATCCTTACTGGATGGAGTTAGGTAAACAGGATGTGTTCCTCCTGGGAGAGAGAGCACATTCCATTCCAACAATCTATCTCTGGGATTTCCATGTGTAGGTGGGATGCAGGGAAATCTCAGTTTGGTTTGGATACTCTTAAGCATGGGGATGGGTTTCCACATGTGTCAGACACCAGGCTGACCCCCCAAAAAATACTGTGTGCAAATGTGCTGCTTAGAAATGCACTATACGACATGCAAGGATTTTATTTATCACTTTCTCAATCACAACTCTTCCTTTCTCTGAACAAGGAAAATATCATCGCATCTTTAGAGCCTGCGAAAATCTCATTGAGCAGCCCTTCTGTTGTTAGGTAACTGTCATTGTGTGGGTCTGAAGGAATTAATATTTGTATTCAAGCCATCTTATCCCCTCACATCTGCAAATTGAGAAATTAAATGTGGTTTAGATAGATCTCAAGGCAGGTGTTTTTCAGGCTAAGACATGCGCCCAGCTTGTAGATCTCCTAACAGATAGGGTTTGTGGTTCACAACAAACAAGGCTGCATTCAACTAATCAAATAATTATTGCCCTACTAGTTTGCACAGATGTTTGCACTTTCCTCTGTCTCACGTACAGATTTCTCCCCCACAGGCATCCCCCACTCCCACAGATACCTCTTGCCCCCATCTCACAATCATTGCCCCTTCCTGCAGATATCGTAGCCTTCCTTAGCCCTCTCTCCTTCCACATAAACATAATCCTCAACCCTGCAAGGCAGGAAGAGGATAAGCCCAGATGAACATGTTGCATGAAACAGTTCTATCCTGCTGGGGTTCTAGTGTGACTGACTGGCTAATCTCAATTTATTTTGTATTATCAAGAAATTATTCAAATTATAACATTGTGTGGGATATTTTATCACTGAGAGAAAATTCATCTTTCTGACAGTGAAGATGAGATTGATTCGGCTGAAGGTTCTTCTTCATGTGAAAGTGCTTTCTTCATCAGATAATAATAATAATCCTTGCATTTGATATAGTACCTTATCGCGTCTTTGAGATGTCTCAAAGCACTTCACCGAATATACTGTAAAGTGAATTGATTGTATATTTTGTGGGCAAAACATGGCAGCCAGTTGCGCACCGCAGTGTCCCAAAAACCTAGAGGCAAGAATATTACCAAATAGTAATAATAATAATCCATGCATTTGATATAGCGCTTTTCACATCGGGAGGACGTCCCAAAGCGCTTCACAGAACACACTGTAAAGTGAATTGACTGTATATTTGTGGGCGAACGCGGCAGCCAATTGCGCACAGCAATGTCCCACAAACAGTCGTAGATTGAAAATGACCAATTTATTATTGTTTTTGGTTTTTGGAGGGATTATTATTAGGCGTGTGGAGTAAGGAAACTTGCCCAAGGTTTCGCCCTGTCTGGAATTGAACTCAGGTCTCTCACTTGCAAAGCGAGTGCTCTAACCACTGAGCTACAGGACTCCACTATGTGCCAAATGTGCCAAAACTGATGCTTTTGGAGGTAGGGATGGAGAGGTACATGTGCAATGCTAGGGGAGCACTACAATGCCAGAGGATACTTCAAATGAGATGTCAAACCTGAGGTTCTGCCTGTTCAGGTAGATGTTAAAGATCCCACAGCATGATTCAAAAAGAGAAGGGAATTTCTGGTGGTATCCTGGCCAACAATCCCCCAGATAAAATTATTTGTTCATAGATGTTTGTGGGAAATTGTTCTGCACCAATTAGCTGCCACATTTGCCTACAAATACAGACATTAATCAATAAATATTGTGAAGCCTTTTGAGAGTTTTAACAATGTGATAAGGTGCTATATCAGATTTCAAGATTTATGATTTATCCTTGGACCAGCAATACTGAGACTAGGAACTTCACCATGCAGCAACAACAAATTAATCTAGGACAGATATAAACCCTTAGGTTACTCCACATATCAAAATATTAGCACGTCGCTCTCACTGTGTTCTTTCTCTCTAGGTACTACTTCCACTGATTCTGAAGGCGAAGGAACCATGTTTCAATCACAAGACAGGACTGTGCCTCAGTAAGTAATTGGAACGCCAGCAGATCAGCTCAGTGGAAATGAATTTCTGTGCAGTTGCTTTTTATTTTTTGAAGATCCCCAGAAGACATATACAGCCTGTCCCATCCAGATTACTGCATAAAATTCTGGTCATCGTGACTTAAGGGGATTCCCCAAATCCCATCCAGTGCAGAAGAGAGTAATGAGGATTACCCCATTATTAGAGGAATAAGCTATGAGCAATGATTTGACAACCTAGAACTCTTCAGTCTTACAAGGAGACATCTTAGAAGGGATCTTATTGAGGTATACAAAATTTTAAATGGGATTGAGAAAGTGAACATGGAACAATACTTTAGGATGCTCCAGAACGGTAGAAGAAGGGAACATGAGTTTAGAATTACAAAGAACAATTTCAGGGCAGACATCAAGAAGTTTTTCTTTACCCAGAGGATACTTAACAACTTGAACAAGTTGTCAGGAAGGGTGGTTGACGCCAGGTCATGGAGACACTAAAAAAAAGCTTGATGCTGTGATGGGAGGACAGTAGGATAGATATTCCAGATGGATGTCCCTAAATTGGCCAAAGGGTGTTCTTCATCTGAACCGATCTTGTAATCTTATGACGTAAGTGAAATTGGTGCTTTAAAAAGGTTCACTTATAATGGCCATAGACCAAAATAATGCTGACTAAAGCACACAAATCTTCTTTGCCTCCTCCAGTACCAACTCCGGGTCCGCTTATGTTCTATCAGCTTGTCTACAGACATCAGGGCCCGGGCCTGGATGAGTGTAAACTTCCTACAGCTGAATATGGACAAGACGGAAGCCATACTCTTTGGCTCCTGTCAACGTCTTTACTCCTGCAGATCTAAACTCCTCAACCTCCCTGGGCTCTAGCTCAGATTCACCAAACCAGTGCGCAACCTAGGCGTCCGATTCGACCCCTAGCTGTCCTTCTTCCCGCACATCCGGTCCCTGACCAGGACCACCTTCTTCCACCTCTGCCACATTGCCTGCCTCTGACCGTATCTTACCCCAAAGTCAGTCGAAACCTCGTGCATGTGTTTGTCACCTCCCACTTGGATTACTCAAGCGCACTCCTTGCCATTCTCTCCAGCTCCACCATTCACAAGATCCAGCTCATTCAAAACTCTGCCACCCACATACTGACCCGGACCAAACTCCGTACCCAAATCTCACCAATTCTGGCGCCAGGGTCCACTGGCTCCCCATCACCGAACGGATTGACTTCAAGATCCTCACTCTCATGTTCAAATCCATTCCTTCCCTGGCACCTCCCTACTTCTACTCAACTGGCACCGGCCTCATGCTCGTCCCTCACACCCTCCGCCCCACCATGGAGGTTGTGCTTTCAGCCACTACGCCCCCAAACTCTGGAACACTCACCCTCAATCTCTCCGCCTTGCCTCTCCTCTCCCCTCTTTCAAGTCCCACCTGAAAACTTTCTTCTTCGACCGTGCTTACATCACCTGCCTGCTCCCCTCGGCTCAGAGTCAGGCTCCGCCACTGTTAAACGCTCTGAGATGCTACCCTGCGTGGAGGGCACTATATAAATTGTTGTTGTTGTTTGTTGTTGTCTGAAACATGTCATTGTGATAGGGCAACTAAAATTCCGATATTGTTTGTGTAAAAGTCGTTTTTGTTAACTCCCAAGGACAAAAAAGAAGACAGCCTCGGTGTCTCTGACCATAGGATCTCCTCCTCCGAAGGCGGGAACCAACGGCACTGAAGTGCAGCAGCTCCGCTCCACGCTGGTCCAGTCCATCTCCCTCCCACCCCAGCCGGTATGTCTTCCAGTTAAGTTTGAGAATAGCCGATGCAGACGTCTGCTGTTTGTAAAATATTTCCTGATGGGCCGTTGGTGGATGAGCTTTCAGCCATTCTGCCCTCATTCTCTGGAACTCCATCCTGGAGTCTCTCCCTTTCTGCCTTCCAAACCCGTTTTAAGACTTAGCTTTTCAACTTTAAGCTAACTTCCTTTCTCCTCCCCCACCCCCCAAACATCTTCAGATCCCACCCTCCAGTTCGGGCTACCAGTGTGAAGCACTTCCCAATATGGTGGGGATTCTGGAAGGATGAACCATAGAAATTTACAGTACAGAAGACGGCCACTCAGTCTATTATGTCTGTGCCAGCTCCCTCAAGAGCAATCCTTTTAATCCTATTTACCCCAAACCTCTGTGACTGACTCTTTTTAAGGTATCTGTCTGGTCCCCTCTTGAAGGCCAATATGGATTTTGCTTCAACTACCACTCCCAGCAGAACATTCCATATCCTAACTACTTTGTGTGTGAAACAATTTCTCCCATTTGCTCATTTATTAGTTATCTTAAATTGATGCCCTCTCGTTACTGACTCACCGACCAGTGGAAATAATTTCTTCCTATTGATTCTATCAAAGCCCCACATAATTTTGAAAACCTTGATCAGGTCAACCCTCAGCCTTCTTTGTTCTGGCAAAAAAAGGCCCAGTTCCTCCAGTCAAAGAGTTCAAGTGGGCCGAAGGGAGGTCTTCACCTGCACTGATCTTGTGAAGGAAGGAGGCCATTTGGCCCGTCGAGCCTGCACTGCTCTGAGGCGTTCATTCAAATCTCACTGCCCAGCCATATCACTATACCAGTTCAAGCCTCTAACTTTCAGATACCTGTCTTCTTCCATCTTGAAACCCACAATGAACTAAAAGCCAAAGTAAAGCATTTGACTCTTTAGCCAGTGTTTGACCATCCTGAAGGCTTTTCCTCATTCTCATCCCCACCCCTTCATCTGTGATTGCTGTAAAACACTTTGAGACTCTCAGTGTATATAAGTCACTCTAAAAGGTAGTAGTGGTGTCAATACTTCATTGGCACTTTCAACAAAAATGATCTTTCTGGCAATATCTCCCTTGCATGTATAAAATTGGGAGAGTGGGGTGGGGGAGGGGGAGGTGGTGCGATGAAGCTCAGAGCACAGTGTCCTGGTGAAATGTGAGTCTGTGTCTATCCATCCGCTCAACTCATCCCAGCAGTGCTGCCAGAGGCAGCATTCAAAATGGATTGGCCAGTCAGTGCATAACTTCAGCAGAGCCGAATGAGGGTGAGAGAGAAAATTTGGAGGAAAAAGTATGTAAGAGAACTCCATCGCTTGTAAATTAATATCATGTAGCAATATTTATATTTGATCTTTATATTTCATATTGAGCCTTTGACGTCAGGAGGACGTCTCAAAGCCCTTCACAGGATTTGCCATGTGGTGTAGTGATACCAAAGGTCTTCTGATACCAAAGGTCTGTCTGCATGGCACGTGTACCACGCAGCTGACCCCTAAGTGTACAGCAATCTGTCATAGCATCACAATGGGTAGGGACTGAATCTGAGAGGGTCCATTGGTGTCACTTTGCTTCAGATTGTCAGCAGAATTAAATGCAAAAGGAAGGGAATTGCACAGGTGTTCAGCTGCTTCACATTCTTAAAGGGGAAAGGTCACATTGTTAATCCACTATTATCGTGCCCCATTAATTTTTTTCATCCTTTTATAGGAGGAAATTAGCAGCCAGAGTAGCTGGTGTTGTTAACTTTCTTTTTGCATTTAATACATGTGTTACACTCGAGTGATCTAGCATTTAAAATCAACAAGTGCTTGACCGCCAGGTTATAAATCTGCTCCTTTACCAGTTGTAGCGTGTGCTCGAGCAACTGCAATACATTTCCTGTCAGTCAACCTTGTGCTTTCCTGTGTAATTACTGTCACCATTAACATTTACAATTGTTTCTCTTCAATGACAGGATCTAACGTATATCTCCCTGTTTTTTTGTTGTTAAAGATCCAGAGTCCTACACTTTGTCTTCAAGCCCAGCAGGATGGGGGTACTGCGCCCTCCTTTACAAAGGTCAGACCTTTTATAATCAATTCAGAGCTATACTTCTGCAAAATGTTGTCCAGTAAACATCTCCCTGAATTGTGCTGGTCGCTCCCAGCAAGGTCAAGCCATCAGGGAAATGAAGAGCGTGTGGTTTACTGGGATTGGAGGGGTCGCATGGGAGGAGAGTTGGGGGATGGGATGTGGGGGGGGAATTGATAACTGCTGTGCTTTACTCAACCGCGCCTGTCAATCAATCAGAGTGATATTTGAGAGGAGTTGAAAATGCATGACTCACATTGTCCCCATGTCCTGGCTGTAAGAGGTGTCCTGTGCCAAACACCTGCTGGGAGGTTTGCAGAGGTCGAAGAATCCCAGACAAAGTTCAGATATCAATCTTATCAATTCCAAATGTAACATTTGTAATGTAACTGACTTCATTACAACAGCTCTTATTGGAACAGGACTGAATGCTCTACAGCACCTTATTACGTCTTCGTGACATCTCAAAGCATTTTACAGAATATACTGTAAAGTGAATTGAATGGTTATTTTGAGGGGAAAACGTGGCAGCCAATTGCGCACAGACATGTGGAGTTTGGTGCTGGTAGTGGAGCCCCTCTATTCACAACAACAATTAGGATTATGGAACAGGCAAACTTCAGAGCACTGAATCTGCTAAACACAGAATTACTAAGGAATCCCTCCCTGCCCTACAATAATACCTCTATTATTTCAGATTGAATTCCTAGGTGGGGTCATAGTTCCTGCCTTGGCACCAATCACTCGTACCTGCCTGGAACAGTCTGGATTGCTTAACTCCTGCATGTTCCTTTTGACCCCCCATTCATTGCACCATTTGTTTGACGTGTGTTTGCTTAGCAGTGACATGCTTCTTAAATTGCACAGTTCTATGATTCCAACTTCCAGTTTATTGTCTGGTTCTGTGTAAAAATAACACTGCACCCACCCAACCAATTGCCACTTTTTCCGAGTCTTTCCTGTCTCTCTAAGTGTTGGCTCTTCTCCTGAAATCAAAAAGCAATGGAAGAAAGAATTAAGCCCTGTAAGTGCTGCTGGTTAAGGTGCCAATTGTTTACCCAAGCAGTTCTTTACACAGACAATTATTTATTTGGAACATGGCAATAGAGTCAATATTGTGTTAACTAATACTCACAAAACATTTTTTAGCAGAAAGGTAAAATCAATATAGCTCCCAGTAATGACGAAGAGTTGCTGGGTGACAGAAAAGGTTTGCCATCCTGTCTACAATCCATTTGGCCAGGAAGTTGGATAAAATACAATACAAATTGACATTTATGTAGTGTCTTTCATGTCAGAAGGATGTCCTAAAGAGCTTGACTGGCTTGGCACCCAAGCTGTGGTGGGATGGATAGGGGAAAGATGACCAAAGCCGCAGTCAAAGAGGAAGGTCTTGAGACGGATCTTGAAAGAGGCGAGGAAGGGAGTTGGAGAAAATGGCGGCAGATAGGCTGAAAGGCCAACTGATTATGGTGGGATGGACAAAGGGCAGGAACATTTTAATGAAGGCATCAATTTCTACCTAAATATTTAACAATGATAGGTAAAAGAATCGCTGATGATAATTGGAAGTAGATTTAAGTAATAATAACCCTTACATTTGATTTAGTGCCTTATCATGTCTTTGAGACATCTTGAAGCGCTTCATAGGGTATACTGTAAAGTAGATTGACTGTATTTTGTGAGCGAAACAACATGGGGTCATGTACCTTCTAGGTCTGTTGTTGATTGAAACTATTTTTTGCTAAACAAATGAGAAAATATTTTTGGTTGTTTCTCCGTATCCCTGTGAAGGCCTGACACCAATTGTAACAGAAGCTCAATCTTTTGACAGTGGGTCAGTCGCATATCTGATCAATCAATGGTGTCTTTTATCACCTTCAAAAACTCTGGTAAAATAGGGTATCCCTTTTTGCAGAGCAATGATTTGGCCTTTTGATGTAACACTGAACAGAACGGTATTGTGTACAAAGTTTGCACTCTGAAGGAGCATTTGGGGTTAGAATCAGAATAAGTACTTCCAGATGTGTGTTTCCTTTTACGCCAGGATTAATGAAATATAACCAAATTCTCTGCCCCACAGGTCTTGCAAGACATTAGTGCATTTGACGGTCAGGTTGTGGTGCTGGAATGTAGAATCAAAGGAGCCCCTCTTGTCAGAGTCCAGTGGTTCAGGCAAGGAACAGAAATTGAGGACTCGCCAGACTTCCGAATCCTTCAGAAAAGTAACGCTCGAATAAATGCAAAACATGTTAATGTGATTTGGTTCTGTTAAAAAGGATGCACTTTAATTCAGTGTACCACTCTTCTGTTCCATGTACTCTTCTGCTGTGACCTTCAGAACCTCGATCTGCTTCTGAACCTGGTAAATAGCGATCTCTTAATAGCAAGTTTTGAGCACTGACCGTATGTTTGTGAATGGTTTAGTAAACAGCTATAAGGAGCGAATCTTGCCAGCAACCAGAAATATTGTTGTGTGCTACATTATTTGTAAAATTCATGCGCTATGCTGTTGCGAATCGATAGGTTCAGGTTTCAAATGTTTTACATGCTTGAGTAGTATTCCTCTTCAGAAGGCTAACACCCTTTATTTTGTCTGGAACACATCTAGAATCCTGCTCATGTGTTGAGATCCTGTCTGCTCAAGAATGATCTATATATAAAGGTGTGCTAAAACTCAATTGTCTTGATTCCCTTAGCAGAAGAGATCTGCACTCTCGTGATAGCAGAAACCTTTCCAGAAGATGCTGGGATATTTACCTGTGTGGCTACCAATCATTTGGGCTCTGTGTCATGCAGGGCAGAGCTCACTCTCCACACAGGTACGTGGCTGCAAAACCTACTTTTCAAAGTATTAAAAATCCAAGAGTAATTCAAACCTGAATGTTCATCTGTTCTCACCCAGAAATGAGCGGCTTACCAATCCCTAGTAGGTTCAGGTAATCATGAGAATGCTAGGAGTGGAAATCCAGTCTGTCCCCTTTATAACAACAACTTGCATTTATATAGTGCCCTCCAAGTCGGGTGGCATCCCAGAGTGTTTAAACCTTATAATAATCTTATTATCTCAATTAATCAACAGCAATTTATATTTATATAGTACCTTTCACATCAGGAGAATGTCTCAATATGCTTTATTCAGTTAAATGCCCGAGCTGGGGGAGGATGGATTCTGGAGAGTGGGGCAGAATGGCTGCAAACTCAATCAATGATGGTAGGGAGGATGGGGTGGGGGACATGAAACAGACTGAATGAGGGGACATGAACTTTGCTGAGTAGAGATAGCAGCCAGACAGTGGGGTCACAGGATAAAGCAGAGGTAACGTGGGGCAAGGTTGTCTCCCCTCTCCCCTGGCAATACATTCAGTTTTTTGAAACCATTTATACTGTCCTCTTCAATGACCTTCCCCATTAATGTATTGTGTGTGCATGTACATACACACCTGTGTGTGTATTTATTGGGGGGAAAATGCATCATTCAATATTAGAATTGACCAGAGATAATTATTACAATGCTGAAAAGTGTGCTCTAAAGCCCTTTATAACTACTGATAATTAAGTTGACATTTATAAATCTGAGGTCCGGCAAGCAAGAGAGAGTGTTGTGAAATCCTTATGGAAAATTTCACTCTATCCACAGAACGCCAAATAGTGCATTACAGAGTAGCCAATCATGTTCTTGTGTGTTCCCTGTATTGCACCTTGCAGCCTAGAGTTTGTTAAAGCATCTCCAAGGTGAGAATTTGTACGAGTTACAGAAATCATGTGGCCCCATGTGTTCTACACTGATCCTTTCACGGTGCTGAAGAACTAGTTTAAGTTCCACTGTGTGTTTTTGCAGGAAGCGAAGATGCTATGGATAATGGGACTGGTTTAGCAGACAATCATACTGTATCGCCTCAGACTGAAATTAGTTCCTTGCAGTTGCCTCCCAAGAGGACAATTGACCATGTTCAGGTGAACAGTCTGGAGATCAAACCAAGTGTTGCTGCTCTCCAGCTCCAGCTCAACACTGCTGAGAAGGAACCCAATGGTACCTCTTCCCATCAAGCAACCAATGGACTAAATCAAGAACAGCCCACTGCATTACCTTCTCCTATCAAGGAACCACCACCACTGCTCACCAAACCCAAGCTGTAAGTCCATCTTCTCATTCATACCAAAGGGCTGTAAATCGCATCAAAAAATATAATCTTTTGCATAAATATCAACTAACAAACCTTATAAACATCACTGTAAAGCAAAGGTGAGTTGTTAATCTCACAAACTCCAGAATCTTTCCATGTGTGTAAGCCAGATCCTGGTTCAATCTTTTACATTTTACTAACATGCTGTTTCTAGGTGCCAACCACCAGGTAATGTTGTTTCACATAACTTTCTTTGATTCTATTCCCAATATTTAGTAGGCTTGTAATTGGGTGTCAAACACTGACTTGAGCCACCTTTGTTATAAGCTTTCTTTCTGATATGGCAACCAAATATATGGGGAATATACATGTACCAACCTCGTATTGAGGGCTTTGTCAAAGCATCTCCAAGGAGAGAAACAGTACGGGTTGCCAATTCATCTGGCCCAAAGCACCTGGTATGGATGCTGAGCAGGCTTGATTTTGGTGCATAAAATGTGGATGTGTCCCAAGTGCTATTTTTGAGTAGAAAGTTGACAATTATGCTGGGAAAGGGGTAAACTTTTCACGCCTTTCACATCAGGACGTCCTGTAATTTGTTGTTGTTGTTCTAAGCTGAATATGCAACATGTACTGATGATACCAACCTAGTGCAATAGAAACTAATGATACTTTCTATAGGAACTTCCACTCTGGAACTCTGCCAGGCGCAACTACAACAAAAAACCACATGATTTTACTGCTTACCTCATTGGTGCAGTGCAGTGTAACAACAATATGACCAGTAGACTGCTGTTATCTGATTCTTTTTGTTGAAAAATCCTGGCAATTGATGTGCAGTTCGGGCTGCCCAAGTATGTGTACAAGATTGAAATGGGAACCAGTTAAGGGCACACAGTTTCATAAATGTACAAGTATGCAACATAAGAACATAAGAATATGTTAGGCGAAAGAAGACTAAGGTCCATTCAGTTCACCTTCCACCATTCTGGCAGTCACATACATACGTCATGTCTCAAACTGCATAATGCATCCCGGGATATTATTATAATAACAATAATCCTTGCATTTGATATTGCGCCTGATCATATATTGGAGACGTCTCAAAGTGCTTCACAGAATATGCTGTATAGTGAATTGACTGTGTATTTTGCGGCAGCCAATCGCACACAGCAGTGTCCTACAAACAGTCGTGGATTGAGTGACCAATAATAATTATTATTTTTTGGAGAGGGATTCTTACCCCCGGAAAGCGATCCGCCAATCGACTAATCGGGTTCCTACATACTGCTAGGTAAACAGAGGTGTGTGGAGTAAGGAAACTTGCCCAACGTTTCGCCCTACCGGGAATCAAACCCAGACCATTTCGCTTGTGAAGCAAGTTCCCTACCACTACACTACAGGACTCCATATTATTTCCAAACATAAATCTTTCCAGTTTATTCTTAAATGAATCAACACGTTCAGCTTCCATTGTCTCCCTAGGGAGCACCATTCTGATTGATATCCCATTCAAGGAGATCTGGCTGTGATTGTAAACTGCTGAGGTGTATAGCCTCTAAATGTTGAATTTAGTTATAAATCTTTCACCTGGAATCAAGCAAAAGGAAATGTACTTTTAATAATAATCAAACTTGCATTTGCTATAACACCTTATCACGTTGTTAAGACATCTCAAAGTGCTTCACAGGATTTTACTGTGAAGTGTAGTAACTGTGTAGTTTGTAGGTAAGTATGGCAGCCAATTTACACACAACAATGTCCCACAAAAAGCCATAAAGTAAATTACTAATTTTATTGGTGGCCAGGCCACTGCAAAATACTCCCTTCTCTTTGTCGAATAGTGCTATGGGATCTTTAATTTCTACTTCAATCGGCAGACAGGACTTGGTTTAACATTTCATCTGAAGGACGGCACCTCCAACCATGCAGGGTTCCCCCAACAGTCCGTTGGAGTGTGTGCAGCCAATACTGTGAGTTCAAAGTCCCGACGTGCGCTTGAACCCACAACCTTCTGAGAGAGCACTACCAACTGAGCCAGTTTGACACATACATCATATAAGATTTAATACATGACTTACAACTTTTGAGTGTTTTTTTTCCTTGGTCAAAGCAATTGCTGTATGTACAGTTTGTGTTGAAAAGCATTGCTGTTATGATGAAGACTCCTTTAATGCTCCTCTGGTAATTCCTATTTCCTTGTTTAAATATTTAGTCACTAATTAACAGCAATGGAAAATCAAATAGAACCAATTTAGTTCCAGCCAGAGGCCCAGCTTTTCTGAGAATTTTAACCACCAAATTTATGTCATGTTTTGTGTAAACACGATTGTTTGATTGAAATAACTATGCTTCCAAATAAGGGCCTTTCAAATGTGTCTGTTACATTTTTGTGGGTTTCCAATCCAATATGTTTGCTTATAAGCTTATCTTTCTAGCCAGACTGTAATGAAATCTGAAAGCCTTTGTGCTGACTTTTATAAAGCAGATTTTGGCTTCCAGGTAACTGCCCTGGTAAGCTTTTCTCTTACAATCTTTTAAATCTTGTTCTTTCGCATTTCCCACCTCCTTTCCACCTACCAATTCTGATAATATTATTTTGCTTTGCAGTTGATGCCTTACCTAAACACACGTTTAACATTTAAACGTGTCTGTTTTCATTTGGTCATGCAGGTTTCTGACACATGCGGAAACCCATCACCATGCTTAAGAGTATCCAAACCAGTCTGGCAGTCCAATATATCTACACTACCTACCCATGGAGATTTCCCCATGTTTGGAATGGAAAGCACAACTTCTCCGTGGGGGACGCACACTAATTCATAATTCCAGAGAGTATCAGGTCCAGGTTGGTGAGACTCAAGACTTGAGAACACCAGAGTGTGGGTTGGAGTACTGCTGAAGTCCAATCAGCTAAAACTGCTAAACTCTGGATGTTTTCCTTCTCTCCCCCTCTTGTCATACACACACACACAAACTGGTAGGCAGGCAGGCAAGGATCACTCGGTTTGGAAACATTTTCAAATAAACTTAAGAATTAGCTTGAAAGCAGAATTCTGATTTATGGTACGCTCGTGGCACTTAACAGCTTTGTTAGACTTACAACAAGGATCAGGTTACAAGTCTGAGGAAAGTCAGATCGCGTTTGACAGCTGGGCTCAAGACACACTGGAGGACTTGAGGCCCTGGAATTCCACCTCGTCACGGGCTGTGAAACTGTATTGTCTTAAAATCTCAAGTAATGTTAAAAATTCTTAAATCTAATCTTAATTTGGAAGTTTCATATCTGCAGGTTCTTTTAAAAAAAGAGGGAGCGGCTTATAAAATAAGTCTGAATTGTGGAGTTTTCCAAAATTCTTAATTCGGGTCTCCGAGTTACTAACTCAACTCTCAGGACAAAGTGTTTGAGAAACTCAATAAGGAATTCATCAGAATCTCTTAATTGGTAGATAGGAATATGAGAGATGGTCCACTTATTAATAATAATAATAATAATAATAATCCTTGCATTTGATATAGTGCTTTTCACGTCGGGAGGACGTCCCAAAGCGCTTCACAGAACACACTGTAAAGTGAATTGACTGTATATTTGTGGGTGAACGCGGCAGCCAATTGCGCACAGCAATGTCCCACAAACAGTCGTAGATTGAAAATGACCGATTTATTATTGTTTTGTTTTGGAGGGATTATTATTATTAATCATAATAATGTTTGCATTTGATTATTACATCAGGAGGATATGTAATAATTCTTATTTTACATTAAGAGGCTATCTCAAAGCACATTACAGGAAAGTGTTGTGACTGTATATTTGTACACAAATGCAGCCAATTTGTGCACAGCAATGTCCCACAAAGAATCATGAAGTGAATGACCAATTTTATTTGGGGATTGTTGGCTTTCTTACTTTCTTTTCAAATAGTGCCACTGAAATTATACTGACCACTTGAATCTTGGTCCCGTCGAAGGATCACACCATTGGCAAAACAGCACTCCCCCAGCACTGCACTGAAGTCCCAATGTGGGGCTTGAACTCATAATTTTCTGACTCAGAAGCAAGAGTGCTTTGAATGGAGCCACCAACTGAGCCATTACATCATATCAGATCTTTTAATCCCATTTCTGCAACGTTTCTCTACGTCCTGAAATTATCCATACTTTCCACGTGACAAGCATCCCAAATTCAAGCAAACTCTTTCTAAGGCAAACTTTTTGTGTGGAGAAACTACTCCATTTATGGGGCCCTGGAATTCTGCCTTCTATATAACTGGTTTCTTTCCCTAAAATGATATATGACCCAGTACTGATATCTGTGTGGCTGCACAGGATCAGATTAAAGAAAGAACTAAAATTTTAATAGTATCTTATCACTTTCAAAACTGATCATAGTATTTCAGAAATAATTGCTGTCAAGTGTAGTGACTGTTCCTTTGAAGGCAAACGTGGCAGCTAATTTGTGACAGCAAAATTCCATAAACACTCACGAGGTAAATGGACAGTTAATCAGGTGATTGATGGCTTGGACATTGGGAGAAACTTCCTTTTCTTTTCAAACATTGTCACGGGATCTGTCTGAACAGGCAGACAGCACCTTGGCCAATGTTCTCATCGAAAAGACTGCACCTGCGGCAATGCATTGCACCTCCAATATTACATTGGAGTGCAGACCAGGAGTATCAAACATGCTACCTGTGGCCACATCAAAGCCCCCTAGAAGAAGTAGAAGAAAAGTAGTCTCAAAGCTCAAAGCCAAATCCTGGATAAAAAAAATGGATATGTGCCAAGTGGTTCGAAGCTGCGATGCATGGTTGCTCTCGATGTAACCAGCACCATAGCATAACTTTGCAAATGTGCCGAGCAAAAGTTCCCCTCAGCGCAAAGGTTAGTCTTGTAGGCAAGTCCTACAGCAGCTACCCAGTAAAGCTCTAGATGTTCATGAGGGAGAAGGGAATAAAAGGGTATGGGAGTGAGTAAGGAGTGGGTGAAGATTCATGTGGAATATAAACTCC